GTCACAGTTGGGCCAGCGCCAACACCACGATGGCCAAGGTCGAGGTGGTTATCTATCTTGAGGTTATCTTGAGATGATTTCGGGGCTTTAGTGTCCCCGCGGCCCGGTCCTCGAACAGGCCTCCACCCCCAGGAAGCAGCCCGTGACAGCTGACTAACTCCCAGGTACCTATTTACTGCTAGGTAACAGGGGCATTCAGGGTGAAAGAAACTTTGCCCATTTGTTTCTGCCTGGTGCGGGAATCGAACCCGCGCCACAGAATTACGAGTCCTGCGCGCTATCCACCAGGCTACGAGGCCCTCGTAGTGTCCCCACAGCAACCTGTCCTCTGACAAAGAACGTCGCATTTCGATCGTAGGCGTTACATAAGACCCACAAATCGTCGTACTAGAAAATGGACGCGGCTGGCGAAAGTGACGTACTGTCCCCGTTTTCTGTTTTAGGTCCTCTGGTAGGTTAGGAGACCACACTTTAAAATGACCGTTTTCTTGACATTGGGGGACCTTAACAGGACCTACAGTGAGTTTAAACCCCCGTTAGGGACCCGAGGTGACTTGAACCAGGGGGTCTTGACGGCTGAGTCGCCAGTGCTCAGGATTCGTAGTCCTTAGGTTCCGGGTTCGATCCCCGGGGAAGGCGGAAACAAATAGGCAGAGTTTGTTTCACCCTCATACCCATTTACTACGGTTCACCTAGCAGTAAACAGGTACCTGGGAGTTAGACAGATGCTACGAGCCGCTTCATGGGGGATGTGTAACAAAAAAAAAGAGGCCTGATCGAGGACCGGGCCGCGGGGACGCTAAGCCCCGAAATCATCTCAAGATAACCTCAAGGTACCATTAAAACATGAGTTACCTCAGATAATAGAACATGGAAAGTATTAACACTGTTGACATTACCATAATACTCATTATTAGTTATCTTAAAAGATATTATTATCTTTATAATTATTTCCTGTATTATTATTTACACGATTTGTACCAATGGAACAAGTACGGAAGCCTGAGACTCAGATGAACAATAGATCATGTAAGAAGCTTTACTTTCTGAACAAGAGTAGTGGGAAAGTGGAATGAAGTAAAGAATCAGGTTGCAGAAGCAAACTCTATTCATAACTTTATAATTAGATATGATAACAGGCCAGGTGTCATAAGGCAACCGAGGGCTAGAAAACCGGGGTCCAAGAGCTGGGATCCTGATGGCACATATATGTGAGTACAAACAGGTTAGTACACACGCACACACACACGCTCAAGGGGGACACAGGTGGAAACTGAGTGCCCAAATGAGCCACAGAGACATTAGACAGAACTTTTTCAGTGTCAGAGTGGTTGACAAATGGAATGCATTAGGCAGTGATGTGGTGGAGGCTGACTCCATACACAGTTTCAAGTGTAGATATGATAGAGCCCAATAGGCTCAGGAACCTGTACACCAGTTGATTGACAGTTGAGAGGCGGGACCAAAGAGCCAAAGCTCAACCCCCGCAAGCACAATAAGGTGAGCACACACACACACACACACACACACACACACACACACACACACACACACACACACACACACACACACACACACACAGGGGCCTCGTAGCCTGGTGGATAGCGCGCAGGACTCGTAATTCTGTGGCGCGGGTTCGATTCCCGCACGAGGCAGAAACAAATGGGCAAAGTTTCTTTCACCCTAAGTGCCCCTGTTACCTAGCAGTAAATAGGTACCTGGGAGTTAGTCAGCTGTCACGGGCTGCTTCCTGGGGTGTGTGTGTGTGTGTGTGGTGTGGGAAAAAAAAAAAAAAAAGTAGTAGTTAGTAAGTTAGTAGTTAGTAAACAGTTGATTGACAGTTGAGAGGCGGGCCGAAAGAGCAAAAGCTCAACCCCCGTAAAAACACAACTAGTAAACACACACACACACACACACACACACACACACACACACACACACACACACGCACACACACACACACACACACACACACACACACAACACCTCTATGCAAGAAATATAATCCGCTAAAATACAGCAAAACAGCAAAAAAATAAAGCGTTTTAAACCACGTAACACCGACCACCACTTTCCCTCCAGCCTGTGGAGCCGCCCGAGGGGAGGCGACGGGGTAATACTTATACCAGACACTCAAACCTTATCGATGACACAACGTCAATAAATTCCCCTCGTATATCCTGGAGAGAAAGTGTATATATACACAGGGTCGACTGGGACACACATAGGGTCGACTGGGACATACACAGAGGGTCGACTGGGACATACACAGAGGGTCGACTGGGACATACACACAGAGGGTCGACTGGGACCTACACAGGGTCGACTGGGACATACACAGGGTCGATTGGGACATATATAGGGTCGACTGGGACATTCACAGGGTCGACCATGACATACACAAGGGTCGACTGGGACATTCACAGGGTCGACCATGACATACACAAGGGTCGACTGGGACATTCACAGGGTCGACCATGACATACACAAGGGTCGACTGGGATACACACAGAGGTCGACTGGGACACACACAGGGTCGACTGGGACATACACAGGGGTCGACTGGGACATACACAAGGGTCGACTGGGACACACACAGGGTCGACTGGGATACACACAGAGGTCGACTGGGACACACAGGGTCGACTGGGACATACACAGGGGTCGACTGGGACATACACAAGGGTCGACTGGGACACACATAAGGGTCGACTGGGACATATACAGGGTCGACTAGGACATACACAGGGTCGACTGGGACATACACAGGGGTCGACTAGGACATACACAGGGGTCGACTGGGACATACACAGGGGTCGACTAGGACATACACAGGGGTCGACTGGGACATACACAGGGGTCGACTGGGACATACACAAGGGTCGACTGGGACACACACAGGGTCGACTGGGATACACACAGAGGTCGACTGGGACACACACAGGGTCGACTGGGACATACACAGAGGGTCGACTGGGACATACACAAGGGTCGACTGGGACACACATAAGGGTCGACTGGGACATATACAGGGTCGACTAGGACATACACAGGATCGACTGGGACACACACAGGGTCGATTGGGACATACACAAGGGTCGACTGGGACACACACAGGGTCGACTGGGACATACACAAGGTCGACTGGGACATACACAAGGGTCGACTGGGACACACACAAGGGTCGACTGGGACATACACAACGTCGACCAGGACATACACAGGGTCGACTGGGACACACACAACGTCGACCAGGACATACACAAGGGTCAACTGGGACATACACAAGGGTCGACTAGGACACACACAAGGGTCGACTGGGACATACACAGGGTCGACTGGGACACACACAACGTCGACCAGGACATACACACAATTCAACCAGATGGATAGGAAGAATAAGTTTTGTTGATAAAATACGTGTATGGAAAATATACAACGCATACACAAGGGTTTGAGCGAAAAATACACCCGTTGTATAGCGGAAAATGCGAGTGAAAAAGATTGTGAAATATACAAACTGTTTTTAACGTCGCTCCAATTACACAAGAAACCTGAAAATACAATCTTTAATTGAGAAAAAAAACATCGAAGCTATACGATGGGATCGAACCCTGTTAACCCCAACACTCAGACGCACGCAGAACCTCATGGACCACGATGTGCTCGGGAAGCATCTCAACCATCATTGGGTCCAGTGCATGTGACTGAGGAGCTGCGGGACGCGAGTTCGAATCCCTCTCATAGCTTCAATGCTCTCGAACACAGCTATATGTCACATCCTTATAAAAAAAATTAATATGCATAATCTTCCATTAATTCACGAGCAAGAAGAGGTCATGAATGATGTATGCAAATGAATGCCAGTATAATAAAGGGGGATATTCATTTAGTGTTGAATATATCATTCATTAAAGAGCACAGACGGAGGAGCTGGTCGGCCGAGCGGACAGCACGCTGGACTTGTGATCCTGTGGTCCTGGGTTCGATCCCAGGCGCCGGCGAGAAACAATGGGCAGAGTTTCGTTCACTCTATGCCCCTGTTACCTAGCAGTAAAATAGGTACCTGGGTGTTAGTCAGCTGTCACGGGCTGCTTCCTGGGGGTGGAGGCCTGGTCGAGGACCGGGCCGCGGGGACACTAAAAGCCCCGAAATCATCTCAAGATAACCTCAAGATAACCACACAGTTGGCTCCAGCCTCATCCTATGCTTAGTATAACTCTTAAGTCAACATTAAATAAAATATATTTCTAATGAGAAACAATAAACTCTTAAAATAAGCTTTTTATAATTAAGCTTGAGATGAGCTGATGGAGGACAGCTGAGCTCTCAGCTTGAAGGTTTGTGAGGAAAAAAGACAACATTACAAATAAATCCTGGAAAAAAAACTAAAAAGTGAAAGAAATGTATAAAGTGAAACAAAGTCAACCAGACACATAAAGAAGAAATAAAGTGAACAAATCTAAACCCGGCTCCACCAACACGTGTAGGCACCAACAAGCTAGCCAACCATAAATAAAAGGGGGAGAGAGAGAGAGGGAGAGAGAGAGAGAGAGAGAGAGAGAGAGAGAGAGAGAGAGAGAGAGAGAGAGAGAATCTCTCCCTGGCCGACGCTGCTCGCCCGACCAACACACCATGGTGAGGTAATCCGATTTTCTAAGCCAGTACACTCGCTGCTGTAAACATTACTCCCACTCTTCCTATTTTGTTTGTGTATATATGTGTGTGTGTATGTGTATATCCATCCCTATCTATCAACTCTACCTCCGTCCCCACGTGTCTCTCTATCTCTCTCTCCCTCTCTCTCTTGTCTATCTTCCTGTCCGTCTCCTGAGCTCCGAGCCACGGCGCTCATCGGCCTACTTACGAAAACGAAGCATTATTATTTGCCACAGTTTGAATACAAATGGCTTCCAAAGCAGCAACAGCCAAGCAGCGAATGTTTTTTGTTTTTCATTTTCACTATCCAGGCGCGAGATGTTGTTAGAACCATTTCGTTA